TAAATTAGGGACGGTTAGCGCAGATAGCCCTCGTGTGCCTTTGCGCAAAATTCAAAACAAACAAACAAATCTTCCACATCTATATGCAAACCAAAGAGTATAATTTGATTGATCTCTCGTCATCTCCTTAAGAGAATCAGATTTATCCTTCACAATAACCCATACAGCTCTCTACCATTTCCCTTCAGTTGCACTGAAGTTAAAGAGCTATACTGTGAATTATACAATGTTGTTAAACAATAGGGAGGCCAGTGGTGTAATCTTGTTCAGTTTGAGATGCAGTGTCTGTTTCACTGTTCAATTTGTACAGTTGTTTTGGATACACAGTAAATAATGTAGCAATTTTATTGTCCCACAATTTCTTTTGATTTGCATCAACATCAAGTGAGAGTATTTCTGGTGCCATACAAGAAGAACCCTTGGGAACTTTCTTGCGGACTGTTTTCCTTCTTTGGGGGTGAACACCAGAGAAAAATCAATATCCCTCATTGGCAAAGGTGCTACCTGAAAAAATAGGAAATATGCAGATGATTGCAATTATGTGTCGATAAAGAGAATTTTGATATTAGCTTTTAGTCCATATTAGTTTCATATTAGCTTCTTATCAATAGTGTATGATTATAAGTGTGAGCTATCAATTTATAAAGAAAAACGGCAACAGTTTGTTCACCATTTTAGGCACAATAGCTACTAGACTGTTCAAGTTTCGTACCTTTAAATTGACTATTGTGCATGCAATAACCGAATAGTTTACTGGTATGCATAGTTTTTCTACATCTAGTTAATGTTATTAACTGTGCATGTCAGCAAAAAACCAATAAACAATTACAAAACTTATGTGGTAATATATCGCTAATACTTCTGTTGTTATTATATGTACATAGGTGTTGTTCTAACAAACCAATATCTGAGTCCTTAAGTTATTTACCATGTTCCGGTAAGCATTATTCCATGCTGCATCAGCTTCTGTACGTGGGCTCTGTATATCAATAAGAATGCATGGCTCAACTTTGACTAACATTACAGTGACATGGGAACATGTTTCTCCAAGCCTGAAGCGAAATGAAATAATCTTTTAACACAATAGTCATTTCATTGGAAATGATGAATAAAGGGCAAAAATGAATCGATACATTAACAATACTTTAAAATATCTTTTTATACAAATATAGAAGAAAAACACACATTACAAAACAGCATGCAATCTTTATAAACCTCGATCTAAACTTAATTATATAACTAGACAGATGCTTACCCTGTCATACATATAAAATGTGCTGAGCAAATCATTCTGTTATCTTTCCTTAGGTGTGTCTGTCACACTTAGTGATGGAAGAACCTTGGTCTTCATGACACAGACAGGACTACTGGAAGACACTTCGTGACATAAGATGGACTGAATTTGTCCAGCATGATAAGATGCATACGGATCAAAGCTTTTATAGGATTTCGTGGTGTCCTTGGTGTGTAAACCAGAACTGTCAATAACATAAGTAAATATATTATCCCCATATTCCACCTGCCCAGGCGAGTGAAACCTGGTTATACCGTAAACCGCGCAAAGCACCTTCAGGCTAAATCTTCATTTAAACATTCAAAACATAGTTTTTGGTTTTACTTTGCTTATAGACACTTTATATATTAAGAATGATTGAAATAATAATTTGAGTAATAATTAATATATATTTGTTACTTTATAGATTTTATCGATGTTTGTTGTTACTTTATTAACGTTTTTTACTGTGAGGTAAAAACGGCTGCTGCTATGATTTTGCGTTGTTTGTGAGCTCGTTGCTGTCCTAATTTAGGATCTTCTTTTTAACAAGTTCTTTAAAATGTTAAAACTATAGGGCCAGTTACAATGTAAATTAGAAAAAAAATTTAATACCAACAAAATTTTAATCTTGAAGGTAAAATCAGCCAAAATAATAAATACAACTATAAAATACGTCAAAAGAAGTATTTTGAAAAGTTTACTAATCCACACGTTGTCCAAAACAAGTTCAAAGGCTACATCAAGCTGTACGGAATACTTAGAATGGTGTGAAGGACGCGTAAACATCACGTGGGGTAGAAATGATTGGCGGGTTACTAGAACTCTTAGAAGGTGTTTCATAACTGCATCAGCTCAAAACGTTACGGTCATCTCTCCCAAGCAGAAACTTGCCTTTTTGTTCTTAATATAAATAATGATCCTCGAAGTAACGGATATTTCCAAGTGGATTACAGACAACGAGCAATTTTTTGTTCCTCCTGTTTGCAACAAACTGTTGTAAGTTATATTTATATCCAAATAATTAGCTGTTATATTTAAAATAATTAATAATTTAGCAATTAGAACATTTCAGATTTGTCAGTAACTGAGTGTTCCTTACTTCAAGTTTAACGTCTAAATATTATTTTGATCTGTTAGTTGCAAATATTAACTTGCACAATCTTTAAACGTTTACAAGATAGTTTTACTATTACTGAACTGGTACAGTCTGTAGTTTCACAAAATTAAGCTTTGTTGTAAGTGTCCGTAAGTTGCGCAATCTAATATACCGTTTATATATGTTTTATGTGTTGTTTTTTGTTATCACATACGAATAGATTCCATTAAAAGAATTCTATATCTTTAGCTAAGTCAGTATTATTGGGAGTGGTAAGAATATCTATTTGTGAAACATCAGTGTCGCTAACCTGACTTTTTACTTTTATCATGTGCATGATAAAACTTAGGTTAACGAAAACAGTGATATTCTGATTTTCATAGTGTATCAAAATGAGTTCTCATTTCCTTTCTCGTTCTCTGAGACATAATAAAGGTCAGCTGAAAATATTTTTTGCTGGAGGTCCAAATCAAAGGACGGACTTCCACCTGGAGGAAGGAGAAGAGGTCAGTGTTTATTAAAGTTGTTTGAAGTGAATGGTAGCATACATTTTTGCGATATATAAAGGTTAGAATTGCAGTAATGGTTTCAATTTGGTCGAATGTATCTAAATTGTACAACTATTTAGATATTAGGTTCAAGTACACATCCACATACATAGAGATCGACAGCGAATCCTTTGTGTATGATGATGCAACAACTCTACTTCTAATAATG